CAGTAAGTAACATACCTGTGAAGTGGTTTGACTATGGATACACTTTTAAGTTCTATTTGGATACCAATTATTATTATCGTTTTTAGTTAAAATGGACAAGGGTACAAAGAGGATTCAGATATTTGAATATCAATTAACAATCTTATTCATAGAAAGACATCAAATTTTCTATGATAACAATATGAAACAAACTTTAGCATTAAGAAAACAGTTTAAAACAAGCTTTTAGCATTGAGAAAACCAGTAGTGAACCTATCAGAATCACCCCTATAGGAGTTGGGTGATGTACAATATTGATAGGATAATTGAAATTACCAAACCAACCCTATGACTACCCGTGAATTGTGACATCCCAGTCCAAGTTATAGTCCCACATCGAGCAGTCAAATGAACTTGAGAGGCTTTAAATAGAAAGATAACTCAAGTGAAGCATTGACTAGCCAATTTTTGCTGTGTTCTGAGCTAAATAATGCGCTGTCTCAGTAGGTCCCATGGCTTACTATGTGCCGACATGCTCACGGACCTGAGGCATGATAAGCGGTAATAGAGTAGTTAGCCAGCCTGGAATGTGGCGCTACGTGCTATGCGGGACTAAGTGCTACGACATGAGTGCTGTGTGAGCAACCTCTAGAAGCCTGTAGGATCCCCTCTAGAGTCCACATCACTTGGCGATTATACTGGGACGAACCAATTGTCATGCTGCAATGAGAACATCCCGTAATTAAGGTAGGGTGGTTGTGATACTCTAAGATTAGCCCCACATTGGATATTGATTGAGTGATTGAATGGTTTATAATGTAAGTCTAAGGAGTTAAGTGCAACATTGACTAATCAATTTTGGTAGTGGATTTAGCTAAATCACATGTTGTACCCAGTGTCCCAAGGCTTGCATCGTGCCAACGGGCTCGTGGGCCTGGGTGTGACATGACTGGTATAGATCACCCCTTTCTATGGGGTGTTCAAATAGAATCCTTACTCTGAGAAAACAAAACGCAAGTACTCATTAACATTTTTACGATTGCATAATAAGATTTTCCATAAAGAGTCGGTCACTTATATTTTATAAGCGATGGATGCAAACACATGATGAGGCCAGTAAAAAGAAGCGCGAAGATATATAGAAGGGTTAGAATGGGAGGACACTACTTAGAATACGCTCCTGCAAGTGATGCAAATGGCTTGGTCGATCAAAATTTATACAGCTATGCTAAAGGTACTTGATGCACATCATTTATTCAAACCCTTAAATATGAAACTTTCATAGAGACAGGTTGCAAGAGGAGTAGACATGAGGACCATCAAATATGCCAAAGTGATCACATATCAAAAACAATGTAGCTGGATGTATGACATATGATCAATGGATTTTCTCAAGTATACAGACCTAAAATATTCTGCAAAGCTATATATGCATGAACTCAAAGTACATATCACAACAAACAACTAATCACACAGAACCATGGGCACCAATTAGAAACAAACCTCTTGCATTGGTCCCAGCTTTACATACAGTGGTGCATCATCAACTGCTATAAGAGCAGGTTCACAAAGCTTGATAACTGTATGCAAATCCTTTAAATGGCCCCACTTAGGTTGGTTTAGAAGACCTAAAGAAGACAGCAAAGATTATGTAACTAGCTAAATAAATTAAACACGGTCTATGCCAGTAAAGTCTTGCCACAAATGAATATAACAGTTGAGAAAACTATCAGAATTCAGCGAACAAGATACCAACTGAAAAATAAAAACCTAGCATTTGTAAAGAGATGTCACATACCATATTCATCTATTGGAGCATCATAATCGTAGCTGGTCGTTTGGAGGGGTCCCCCAGCGGTTCGGCCAAAGTTTGTTCCTCCAAAAAACTGTAATTATTTGAAAATACACTTAGATGGAATTAGTTATATGGCCAACTTTATTTATTATGTTTCATAACCAGAAGTGAATAAAGACACAAATTAACCACCTATTACTAGTTAAGGAACCATCTACTATGAATTCACATCATAATCAACAATATAACAAATATTCTTAAAATTATAGGAGATTGTTTATAATAGGAGAAATTGTAGTACCATGTAATAATTGTGAAAACTTCCACCGCGCTGAAAAAAACGAGCTACAGCGAATGCATTATCCTCAACAGGTCTATGAGGCAGTCTTCCACCCCAAGATGCATACCTTTCAGAAGAAAATTGTCAGGAGTATTTTAGTGGCATTTATACTCCATGGCAAGATAATGCATGAAATAATTAATAGAAACTGATATGTCTGCACACTTCTTTTGTAGGATTTGTGTTTAAAAATATAATTGCAACAAAATGATGGAAGATGCAGAAATTTAAACAGACTGTTCGCAGAAAATATATCCCGCTATAGTGCATAAGCATTCACGTATGCATCCCATCTAATAAACTAGTTCTTGTTAAAAGCTTGTAACTGCCAAACTCAGTAAGACTAAGCTGATGCTAAACAAGGCAAAAATAAATATCAAGAAATAGAAGGTAACAGTTTTGGTCAAGAAACCTGTAATAACTATCTTTGTAGTATATGAACCCAATGACTCCTAACAACTTGACTTTCGATGAAATGGATAAACTTGGAGTTGATGCAGATCAACTGGATCCGTTGGAAGAATTCTCTCTATTTTTAGTTAGGATTTGAGTTTATAGATTCCTTAGTTTCCAGTAATTTATCTGGTTTTTATTATCATTGTACCAGTATCTTTTCTATAAGAATTAGGGTAGTTAGGACTTGACTGAGATAAGTGCCATCTTTTACTTCAAACAACTTGTTGATAACAGGTTGTTTTAACATATGAGACCAGATTTTACCATGATAAAAATATGCATTGAGCTTATGAGAAATGAGCAGATCTCTTTCCATAATCAGCATTTAAGTCTAATTTTCTTTTGAGGGGTAGGGACTTTTTAATATCGTCATCTAATGTAGAATATAATTATATCCAGACAGGACATCTAACAAAAACAACTGAAGCATTAACATACCATCCATTCCAATCTTCAGTCCAAAGAGCAGGCTTCTTATATGAATTTGGCTTGAATCCATCACAGTAAAATCCATTACAGGCATCAATCTGTTGAACAAAATAAAAAGTAAGAAAAGCTTACAACCATTATGAACAGATAATCAGCACATTGCAATAGGCAAGGATACGGAAAACACAAATAGTTTCAATTAATACCATCTAGTTGAACCCTCACGAGAAATTTGAAGGCTCAGAAAATTCAGAAATAAAAATAAAGATGCAAAAAGAACTTGGTGAAAGGTTATTAAAAGATCAACTGATTGTAAGTTTTTTATGATTTCAAAAAAAAAAAGGATGATGCATTTAATTTTCTACTTAATCTTCATAAAGTTTGTAATGTATTTTTGAGAACTCCAAAGTTTCATGTGTATACTTTTAGGACAAATTTTCAAAAGAGACCCATTTGAACATTTAATTGCAAAAAACGACCGCTTTTGAAGATATTTTTAAAAACCGACCTGGTTTCAGCCCTGTCGTTGAAACCAGGTCGGTTTCTGAAAAAAAAGTTCTGAAACTTCATGGGACTTCAAGTCCCGTGAAGTTTAGCAGATTTTTAACTAACTGCTAAAACTTCACGGGAGTTGAACCCCCGTGAAGTGATATTGATTCAACAAACTTCACGGGAGTTCAACTCCCGTGAAGTTTGTTGCAGTGTAAAAAAATGAACTCCCGTTGAGTTTCAGTCAAATCCCCATCAGCATCCTTCACCGTCATCGACAAAGGCACGAGAGTCCAACTAACCCGCGGGAGTCCAACAAACCCGTCAAATTTTGAGGAAGAGGAGAGAATTTGAGGGGGAGAAATCAATCAAGAGATGATGCTGATTTTGGAATTCAGAATTCCCTCAAATAAACCAGAGACGAGAAACCAAATTTCTCACCAAAACCGGTGAAAAGACCGGCGTCTCTTAGCCTAGGTACCACACACACTCCCTCTCACCTCCTTCATAAGAAAACCCTAATTTCTCACAATTGATCCCTAATTTCATCTCTTTTGCTTCGTCAGGGGATTGGTTCATAGGGATGG